CCCCCCCCCCCCCCCCCCCCCCCTTATTACAATAAAATCAGATTGTCAGTTAAAAGGGGGAACACTGTTCACTATATCTTGTTATGCAGCAACCATTAATTCACAAGTTTGCCTTATGAAAGAGTTGTCGATATACCACAAGACACTTGTAAAGGAAAAATAAAACCACAAGAGGTGATCATTGATGCTAAATAGCAAGGTTGCCTATGAAATGAGTGACATACACAATTTAAGTGTACATGTAGTAGAATATCACTGTATGTAGATTGAAAATGAAAAAAATAATCTTACAACATTTTTTGGAGGAAAACTAGAGAAATAGTTGAAAATTATCAAAACTAAATTGTTAGGATGATTATAAAGATTGTTCTTGTATCCAGCACATTTTTAATCAGAAACTATAACCGTGTTTCTGATTTTGTTGCATTGATTTTTTTATTGTTGCAAGAATTGAATTGCATCATTTGCATGAAGTTACACAGTATCATTAGAGTGCTATTTGAAAAGTAATGTAGCAGGAACATATTTGTAGATTTGTTTTTGTGTTCATGGGCTAGTAAGTGTAAGGTTCTATATGAGAGGATATCATTACTGTACAAACATTGAATGTTGTTGTGTCCATGGGCTGACAAACGAGATATTATTTTAGAAGAAAAAATATACCATAACTTTAAGGTAAAGTAGAGGAAGTGTATATCAATTTAGAAATAATGAAAAGATATTTACACCATTGCTCCACTTTATCTTCAATATAAGGATTGAACTTCAATGTTTTTGTGTTCATGGGTTGATGAAGTTAATATTATAGAAGAAAATTTTGATGTAAGAATTTGAACATTGATGTTGTTGTGTTCCTAGACTGATAGCAAAGATACATTATTAGAAATAGAAGAAAAAAATCATCAGTACAGTAAAATATTTGAATTTTATTGCATTTATAGTTTAATGAAGATAACTTTGGAGAGGCAACAATTTTGATTTTGTTGTGTTGACTTTATGAAGTAGACTTGTAGCATTACTACCTAGATGCATGTAGGAATATCTTTAATGAGTTCAAGTTAAGAATTATAAAATATTTCTAAATCCCAAATAACACCACTGCTGTATTTCTTAATATGTTTTGAATCCCAACCATAAAAGATCAGATGAATCAAAAACTTTTTATTTGAATGTAACTTCAGGAGGATCATTGCATTTATATTTACATGAATACAACAAAATACAAATTATTAAGTTTTAGCTCACCTGGTCCGAAGGACCATGGTGAGCTTATGCCATACCGCAGCATCCGTCGTCCGTCCATCCGTCAACTTTTCCTTTAAAACGCTACTATAGTCAAGAACGACTTGTTTTGACCAAATTTGGTCAGAAGCATACTTGGGGGATGGGGAACAAATTTTGTATAAATGGTGGGTCTGGCCCCACCGGGGGCTGAGGGCGGGGCCAAATAGGGGAAATATAGCAAATTCTTTAAAATCCTTCTTCTTCTGTAGGAATGAAAGGATTTGTTCCATATTTGGTCAGAAGCATCCTTGGGTGAAGGGGAACCAATTTTGTATAAACCATGGGTGCATGTGGCCCCCCAGGTGCTTGAGGTGCAGGGCCCAATAGGGGAAACATAGCAAATTCTTTAAAATCCTTCTTATTCTGTAGGAATGAAAAGATTTGTTCCATATTTGGTCTGAAGCATTCTTGGGTGAAGGGAAACCAATTTTGTATGAACGATGGGTCGGGCTCCCCTGGGGCTGAGGTGCGGGGCCAAATAGGGGAAATATACATGTAAATAGCAGTTTGTTTGTCATCTCAAGTACATCTAAACAGATGATAAAAAGAGTCCTCAAGTGTCAGTATAAACACCAGAGTACTATGGTCACCACAAACATTCATTTAAACAGCAGTTCATAGTTGTCATTTCAAATATCAGTTTAAACAGCTGTACATTTATCATCTTAAAGAAATGTATCAGTATAAACAGTGTTTGACTTTTGTCTGATTGAAAGAATTGAACCCCAATTTAGCATGGAGCATAAGTAAAAAGTGTGTTCCTTCAGGGGACAGGATTAGAAAGGGAAATAGTAGAAAAAAGTGTGTTCCTTCAGGGGACAGAGGACTAGATGGGGAAATAGTAAAAAAAAGGGACTTTCAAAAAATAAATATATATCATATTATTTAAGCACTGATGAGGAAGTGCTGGGCAAAAGAGGTTTTGTGTTGTGTAAATGAAGAGAGAGGCTCCCCTGGGGGAAAAGAGCATGCAGCGCATTAAAGAAAACAGGTTAAGAAACCTTTTCTAATTCTTCTCCAGTATTTAGGCAAATGTTAACTTAAATTATAGCAAATGATTATCTTATGGCTGTGACCAGGTTTTCGTTTTGGATTATAGGGTTATTTTGAAATACAAATCAGTATCATTGGTCTGTGATTGGTGTAACATTTTGTACTCATTTTCTGCCAATAGAATTGTGATAGAACCATTAATGCAAAGTAAAGCATGGATACCAGTTTACCATAGATTAGATGTAGTAAGTTTCTCCAGCTCATTCTACAGCTCATTAATAAGATTGTTAGATAATTGATAAATATGTCAAGATTGTTAGATAACTGATAAATATGTTTACATATTTATTTTTTATGTTAATGAATATGAATATTTGTTGGAAATATATTTACTTTGGGGATAAAAGGGAATAAGACTTCACAATGCATGCATCAAATATAGTATTTGTTATGGTATATTTAACTTATCTGATATCTATATTAAAGCTTTATATCTATTCTTCTTATGTAGTTATGTTTTGTAATTGGTACTGACATGATGACCAAGGTCAATGCTTGTAAGGTTAATATGGCTTGTGAGGTCGTCAGAGATATCAGGATGCCAAATCAATGCTTATAGCGTTGTCATGGATACAAATATGACAGATCAAATCTT